CATAGTTTATGAAATATACATATTTTTAAAAACACTCAAGCAGTAAAATCTATACACAGACTGAACTTCAAAAGGCTTAGAGGTGAACTCTGGGAAATACAGTGCACCGACTGGAACCTACACCACAGAATCTCAGGAACATTCGAGTATCGCCACTGTGTACAGGAAAAGCTGCAGCCACTTCCACACCTGCTTCTCTTGGATGAAGCTTTGCCAGGTACAGTCTTGGCTGAAACTTGAGATGTACACAAGTAACAAACAGCCCTCACAGGCCCAGAGCTCTAGACACCACCGTCCAGCTCGTAAGTAGATAGGCCTCATCGGAACCCACAATGTGGCCAGAACACACCGGCCCCAAGAGTGTAGTTCTGCCCTGTCTACTTTTCATAGATACAGCAAATCAACTCATCCAAATCCTGAAGGAATCTTTTGTGAGAAGGGCATCTCAGAGGATACATCAGGGGAAAAATAAATCAACCTTTGAGTTGAGGACAGATATTCTGTAGCTATTTTATAGGTTTTGTTTTTTTTAAAGATTTATTTATTATTACTTATACATTATTCTGCCTACAGGTGTGCCTACGTGCCAAAGGAGGGCACAAGATCTCATTACAGATGTTCATGAGCCACCGTGTGGTTGCTGGGAACTGAACTCAGGACCTTTGGAAGAACAGCCAGTGCTCTTAACTGAGCCATCTCTCCAGCCTATTTTATGGGTTTTTACCCTGCTTTGTTTGAATGAGTGGGCTTTATGGCAAAAGACAAAGGGCAGATACAAATGTTTAGCTATTTTTAAATCAATGTTCAGTGTGTTCAGTGGCTACCACATGGCTCTCCAAAGGGGCTGTCTCAGTTTACACTCCCACCAACTGCAAAAGAGGCTTCCTCCCCCAACATTCTCTCCAGAATTTGTCCTCATTTGCTTCCTCATGATTGATAAGTTATGCTATAGAAAATCCTATTTTTAAATCAGTGCAATGATACATGGACTTACATAATTCAACCATTTAGAAACATAACTGCTTCTATATCAGATTCTGACTCCAAATGTAATGAAAGGGAGACTTGAGATGCACCAATTCAATAACTTCTCAAAATTTATTACTCCCAGTACTTAGCTAGCAGATTATTCGTTTCCATCTTTTCTCTTACTTACACTTTTTTTGGTTGGTTTGGCTTAGAGTGCAGGGTACAGAATACAGTCTGTTTAGCAAATAAAATCCTCTATGTAGGGATAAGAACTTAGAAGATAAATTTCTGTTTGAGGAGCAGACATTCATTCTTAATAAAAATTCATGTGTGAGCTGCTTAATGCAGGCTCTGCACAGCCGAATGTGTCAAATATGACAAGATGAGGACAGAGCTGTGCAATGCATGAGGACAAACTCTGCTCAGTACAGCGCCTCCTGCTTACGATCACCCAGGTTAATGAGAATTCTGAAAACCAACTCATCCTTTTGTATATTAACGTGCATTAGGAACCAGCATCCATCACAGAAAAGGCAAAGGAAACCATGAAATAATTTAAACCACTCTCCCTTATACTATTACAGTAGAAAGAGTAAAACAAAAGACATTTTAAACAGACAGGTTTCATCTTGAGTCAGCAACTTCACCTCCAGAAACAGACCCGAAGGTAATAATAAGAATGGGTTCAAACATTCAGATGGAAGTTCAGTCTCCATGGCTGCAGAGATGGAGAAGAAAATCAGCAATAGTGGGATGCTGAGCTGAGCTCTATGCTGAACACAGTCACTGCTTTTTTTTTTTAAGACAGGGTTTCTCTGTGTAGCCTTGGCTGCCCTGGAATTCGTTCTGTAAACCAGTCTGGACTCAAACTCACAGAGATCTGCTTTCCTCTATCTCCCTAGTGCTGGGATTAAAGGCATGCATTACCACGCCTGGCTTTTTAGCTTTTAATAACCATGTTATGCAGGTGTATCTGCATGTGTTGCAAGCACGTGTATATGTATGAATGCATACATGTATGAGTATATGTGTGTGTGCATGTATGTGTGCACATGCGTATGGAGGCCAGAGAAAAAGCTCAGCTGTTATTCTTCAAGAGCCACGCAGACCACTACTTTTTTTGTGAGGAGTTTCTCACTAGCCCAGGAACTGATGAAGGAGGATATGTGCCCAATCAGAGATCCACCTGTCTCCCCTCCCCACCCCTGGAATTACAAGACCATGCCATCATACCTGGCTTTCTCTACACGTGCTCTAGGCACTGAGCTCAGGTCAAGAGCATTTTCCCAACAGAGTCACTGCCCCAGCACTGCAGAAGCATATTTAATAGTATTAATGTGAAAATTAAGTAGGTGTTATACAATATTAGCTATTGTATGATTTTAATCTTATCTTAAAAATATAAATGAATACAATAGTTTAACACCAAGTTACAGTGTTTATTTCTGAAAAGAAAAACAAGAATGGTAATTAATTTTTGTTTTCTTGAGCCAAAAATTACAGTGTTTATTTCTGAGTAGAAGAAAAACAAGAATGTTAATCAATTTTTGTTTTCTTGAATCTTAGTTCGTTCTCATACTTAGCTTATTTGGGAGTGACAGACTTAGCTGATGTGATCTGAGCAGCGAACATGAGCTACTACCCTAACTGGGAAGAAGACAGATTAAGTCTGCTTCTTTCCGTCTCCATCAGAACAAAGATGTCTCCCTTGATTCTTACTATGACTTCACTTGTGAAGAATTAGATTGAAGGGGAGATATGAAAGCCGGGGGGGGGGGGGGAACCAAACAATACAAAAACTGTGTAGGCCAAGTTGACTCACTCCGAACAGCACACAGTACTTGCACTTCCTAGGTGGAAAGCAAGCCAGCTACTCCGCTCAGAGCAAGCTGATATGCTCTAGGGCTGGCAGGCAAGGTCTTCAGTAAGCATAAACTCCTAGGATTGTGTACTGTACTTGGGCAGAAGGAAACAATGCACTTCCTTCTGAACAAGGAGCACCATTTTCTTGGCTAGTGCTAAAGCCGATGGACACATGCTCATTGCTTGCTGAACTATTACTGCCCGTTCAAAGCAGAAAAGAGCCAGGTGGTGGTGGAGCACACCTTTAATCCCAGCACTCTGGAGGCAGAGGCAGGCAGATTTGAGTTTAAGGCCAGCCTGGTCTACAGAGTGAGTTCCAGGACAGCCAGAGCTGCACAGAGAAACCCTGTCTTAAAGCCAAAAGAGAAAAGATTTTATAGGATTTATGTAAGCCTCTATTGATTCTTCATCTTTTAAGAGATTATGTTCAAGACCCCAGCAGATGCACGGAACGTAGGCAGTCTTCTCATACATGTAAACTTTTGATAAAGTTGACTTTACCGAGCAAGCATGGGAAGAGATTATTAATAAGAATAACACAGAAAATTGTAATAGTGGGCTGTGACAAAATTATTTTAAATGTACTAACTAGTTCTAGTACATTTTCCATGTACTGTTTTGGACCAGGGCTGACTCTGAACAACTGAAGCTGTTGAAAAAGCTAAGGGAAAAAGCTTATGCATAACTCTTGACTTTGAAGTGACTTTACTCGTGCGTTCCGGGGTTTATTGGGAAAAGTATTTGTCCATAGGGCTAGACTGCCCTGAACAAAGGCAAAAGTTGGAAAAACATGAGATAACTTGAGTGCAAGGGCTTTTAAGCCTGACTCGAGCAAAACCAGAAATGGGAATTATTTAAACACGATCTCATCCAATCTGGTATTTATCTAAAGAATAATTAAATTCATTTCGACTAATCAACAGGAAAAATCAAGGAGAAAAAGACATAACACCTCAGTCATTCGTTTATGTTTATTGTCAGTTTTTTATGTGAAATGTATTGAGCTTAAGTTTTAAATAAATTTCTTTCAAAATGCAAGATATCTTTTAAGTACTTTTATGAAAAGTACAGACTTCTCTCATAATGAGTAATTAGCTCCTAAAGTATTTTCATTATGTCTGAATTAAATGCTTTCAAAAATATCATGCTTTATAACTAACTATATAGAAATAATAATTTTTGTTTATTAGCTGGCATTAACAAACAAAAATCAACATTCAAAAATAAAAGGGTCACATAAGCCTACATGGTCACAGTTGAGGCTCTTAAAGTCCTTCTCTTTGGCCTTGCAAGTGTTAGGACTGTCTCACTGAAATATAAATAGAACGCTTCACTGCCCACATCCAGAAAACACTGTGGCTCAGTCATCTTCACTAAGTGTAACTGACCCTTATGCAAACCTGGCGCTGGTATGGTTGGCTACAGATAGACTTGTAAAGTGACAGGTTCTTTTGTGTTCAAAAATTGGTCATCTCCCAGAGTCTCAAAAAGGTTGAAACATATTATCCTTCTGTCTCAATGCACAGTCTACTGTCCTAAGCAGCACCCCTGGGAGCTGACATTTGAAGCTGACAAACAGCAAGTGTGTTAGGGAGATAAAGCCGGCACGTGTGCAGCAGCCTCCTGGGACTCCAAAGTGCCTGCAGCCACAGCTGGTACTGTGCCTCGTCCCAGTGTGCACTGCTCTAGGAAACTTAGGTCCCGCCTTCCGACTTGTCAGAGGGACACATCTAACTGGAATACGGTTATTCTAAAGTCTTTCAGGGCAAAGAACGCTGTAACATCCCTTTTAACAATGGGAAGAAAAATAGGTACCTCTTTGTAGTACTGGATTGAATTTGGGGCCTCACTCATGCCATGCAGAGGCTCTATCACTGAGCTACAATCTCAGCCTCGAGAGATTTTAAAGAAATATTTATTCAATATTCTTAAAGTTAATATTTATTCAAGAAATACAAAGTTACTTAACCTAACATTCCTTCTTTTCAAAATACAAAGAGTATTTGTTTAATACCAGATATCCTGAAAATATCAGTGAAATAAAAAATAAAAATCCATTTCCGTTCCCATGTTTACATGGTGATAGCAGGAAATAAAAAGTGAGAACCTAGAAAAAAACCAGCATACAATGTTCAGATGCTGATACTTATTACAGAGAAATATAAATCGTGCTCCCTTCAGCAGCACATATACTAAGATTGGAACGATACAAAGAAGATTAGCATGGCCCCTGCGCAAGGATGACGTACAAGTTCATGAAGATTCCACATTTTTACCCATCAGAATGGCTAAGATCAAAAACTCAAGTGACAACACATGCTGGAGAGGATGTGGAGAAAGGGAGACCCTCCTCCATTGCTGGTGGGAATATAAACTTGTCCAATCACTTTGGAAATCAATCTGGCACTTTCTCAGAAAATTAGGAATAGCGCTACCTCGAGATCCAGCTGTACCACTCCTGGGCATATACCTGAAAGATGCTCCACCATACAACAAGGACATTTGCTCAACTATGTTCACAGCAGCTTTATTCATAATAGCTACAATCTGGAATCAACCTAGATGTCCCTCAACCAAAGAATGGATACAGAAATTGTGGGACACTTACACAGTGGAATATACAGCAATTAAAAACAAGGAAATCATGAAATCTGCAGGCAAATGGATGAAACTAGAATAGATTATCCTGAGTGAGGTAACCCAGAAGCAGAAAGACACATATGATATATACTCACTTAAAAGTGGATATTAGACGTATAATATAGGATAAACATACTAATATCTATAGTCCTAAACAACAACGAGGACCCTACGGAAGAGGCTTAATCCTCATTCAGAAGGGCAAACAGGATAGACATTGGAGGTAGGAAAAGACAGGTAACAGGACATGAGCCTTCCACAGGTGACCTCTGAAAGACTCTGCCCATCAGGGTGTCGAAGCAGATGCCAAGACTCATAGCCAAACTTTGGGCAGAGTGTCGGAATCCTTATAGAAGAAGGGGGACATAGAAAGACCTGGAGGGGACAGGTGCTCCACAGGGAGCCAACAGAGCCAAAAGACCTGGGCCCAGGGGTTCCTGAAGAGAGCAAAACTCCAACCAAAGACTATGCATGGAGAGGACCTAGATCCCCTATTCAGATGAAGCCCATAGACTGCTCAGTTTCCAAGTGGGGTTCCTAGTAAGGGGAGCAAGGACTGTCTCTGACATGAACTCAGTGGCTGGCTCTTTGACCACTTTCCCCTGGGGGTACAGCCTTGCCCAGCCACAGAGGAAGAGGATGCAGCCAGTCCTGATGAGACCTGATAGGCTAGGGTCAAAAAGAAGAGGAGGAGGACCTCCCCTATCAGCGGACTAGGGAAAAAGCGTAGGGGGGAGAAGAAGGGTGGGTGAGACTGGGAGCAAACGAGGGAGGGGGCTATAGCCAGGATACAAAATGAATAAATGGTAATAAACAAATAAAATAAAAAAGAGAAAGATAAGTCATAATGGACGACGAGTATGAGAAGTTTGCAACTGTCCACAGAGGAAGAAGCTGAGCTAGGTCTCTTCGAGAATGGCACATTCAAGCACAAACACTACTAAGCACAAATAATGAAAGGGACTATATGTCGGCTTGGATTCCTGTGAAGGAATCGTGGCTGGTGTGGGCACTGCTACTGCTGAGAGAGCTGAAAGTGCCCTGGGAAGGCCTTCCTACCTGCAGTCCATTTTTCATGCTATTCGTGACTGCTCTCTGCCAAGGAGACGCTGATTTTGAGGCACTTGCTGCTTTTGAGCTGGTAGGAGAAAGACTCTTGAAGACCATGTCTACTGTGTATCTTCAGTCTTTTCCTCCTTCCCCACATCACTCGCATTTCATGGTTCTTACTTTACCTGCTGGGCGTCTGTCTTAACAGTAAACAAAGCCTCTGCCCGATGGTGGATTGTGTCAGTCTCCCTAGCACCACGGCATTCTGTGGACTAAGAGTGCTCAACATGTAAATAATGATTGGTGTACAGTTGAGTAAATACAAGCAAAAACTCAGAATGAGGTCTAGAAAGGAGCAAGCTGAGAAAATCGCTAGGATATTTTAGTAATTAATCAAACCTTGGCCTTTACAGTTTCTTTCTTTATTTTTTTTTAAACAAGGTTCCCTGTAGCCCAGGCTGGCTTAAATTCACTGTACAGTGGAGGCTGGCCCCAAGCTCATGCTCCTTCTTCCTCCGCCTCCTAAGCATAGAGATTACAGACGTGTGCCACCATGCTGTTTACACTAATATTTGCACTGTCAGCTACTCAAGGAAAAGTTATGTGCTCTGCAGTTTGTACTGTCGCAGAGGCTGGTGAGTGGCACAAAACTGAGCAAGTGAGCACATCCTACAGCCTGCTCAGCCTCTGATTTCCCAAGTGGCTTTGCTTCTCTGCTGGTGGGTACACACATCCATATTCAAGCTATCTACTAGTGAGAAACTGGAGGGGCTCAGGCCTTTGCCCCCTTGAGTACTAAGACCTTCGATATAATGACATGCTCATTCCTAACCTAACAGGACAGTCTGGTAGAGGTGCCTGACTTCAGAGAATGGTCCAGAAATCTGTGCAGATAGATATGCTCTATCTCCTTATAGATAAAATAATAAAGTTATCAGTGAGTAATAGCATCTGTATCTCCCTGAATCATTATTAGGACTAAATCAAGTACCTTATACTCTGATTTATAAATTAAAAATACATCATTTATTCTACTCGCAGTAACCTTAGCATCTATTACAAGGCTCCACCCCATGTTTCAAACTCAATTTTCTAATTTCAGTACCCTTATGCTCAGGTGATGTTATCCCTTCAACTTGAAAGGGTAGATCCTCATTTCACCTGGGGAAACTCAATTCTGGAGGATTTGTCTACTTAGATCATATCCTCTGTGAAACCTTGGTACTTATTCCAAAGAAACAGAATTGTTCCTTAAAAAAAAAAAAAAGTCTTATCTCTATGCCTCCCTGAAACCACTTATCTGATTCTCCATTTATTTTCCCATTGCCTATGAGCTTCTATTTTCCTTCCCATAATAGATACTAGAAATATCCAGCAATAGCTCAGCTACTGTTAGATTTCAGTAAATGTGTGACATGGCTTTATCCAATTTTGAACTTTTGCCTCTTGACAAAAGCTTGCTTCCTTGAGCCAGTCTGATCTCTGTAGATGATACAATTCTACTGGAAGTTTCTTTTCCTTCTTAAAGGACACAGAAGAAAAAGGGTGAAGATGGCATACTAAAAACAGGATCAAAATAGAAGGCCTATAAACAAATAAGAATAACCCTCATAGGCTCATATATTTGAAGGCTTAGTCATCAGGGAGTGGCACTATTTGAAAAGGAATAGGAGGCGTGGCCTTGCTGGAGGAATTGTGTCACTGGGGGTGGACTTTGGGATCAGGGTGTAGCTCTCAGCTACTTCTTCAGCACCACACCCACCTGCCACCATGCTCCCACCATGATGACAATGGACCAAACCTCTGCAACTCTAAGAAAGTCCCCAATTAAATGCTTTCCTTTATAAGAATTGCCATGTTGATGGTGTCTCTTCATAGCAATAGAACAGTAACTAAGACACATATGTTTGAACTAAGTGGCAGGCTCTCTGATCACCTCTCCCTAGGGAGTGCAGCCTTGACAGGCCACAGAGGAAGACAATGCAGCCAGTCCTGATGAGACCTGATAGACTAGGGTCAAATAGAAGAGGAGGACCTCCCCTATCAGTGGACTTGGAGAGGGGCATAGGGGAAGAAGGGGGGGAGGGTAGGATTGGGAGGAGAGGGGATACAAATTACATAAACTGTAATAAATTATAATAATAAAAAAAGAAGAAAAAGACACATATGTTACTAGTGTCACACTGATAATTATTTTGGCATAATATGTGCTTTTTACTGCTCCTTAACAAAGAAAGGAATGTAGTTTACTTAAAAAACAGTTAATTCCCATTGTAGCATTTCTCCCTACTCACTTAGTTCTCCACATCCTAACTGGGGAAGTGTCAACAGACTCCTAATCTCATTTCATTTTAGCTTTAGTGCAGCTAATACACGCTCTCCTAAGGGAATGTGATTCCCACTCCAAAAGCAGCATTTGGCATGTCCTAACTTACTCAGCCACCTCTTAAAATCATGATCTAGAAAGAAAGTCACTCCCAAGTCATTCAAGGCTTCCCATCCTACCCACTATCTGCAGTGTGGTACCTCATGACACCTTCCTTAAGAACTCAAAGAAAGTAAGAAAAATTAGCTGGTAATACTTACAATATGCCAGGCACAGTTTTAAGAAGCACAACCATACTAGCTAATTTAAGCACATATACGTTTATTTTTTGTTGCTGTTGTTGTTTTACTGGTGAAGAAACAGGAAAGCATCTGCCAGGTGACTTGGTTTCTGAGCTCTACTATCAAGCAAATGTGTGCTATCAACCCTTCCTCCTTCTGCTCTTGACCCCCCAGAAGCCAGAAATGGCCCATAAAAACAGGTGAGGCCATGGTGGCGGCCCCTCGTACACGGAGTAAAAGCTGAAGTCCTTCAGTGGTTTACTATCTCTTCCCGACTTCCACCAACGAGGCCTCCTGGAGTCTTCACACACACCAGGGGTATTCCAGCTTTGGCACTCGCTGTTCCTCCCTTCTGGACCGATACGTGACTTTCCCTTACCTCTCTCAACTCTATAATCTCGCCAAATTTCCCATTCTTCCTTTCCTGGTAACTCTGTTTCTTGTCCCTGCATTATTTTACCCCTGGCATTTGCCACCATGGGACACTCAGCGTATTTTACTTTTTAAGGTCTGTTTATGGTCTGTTCCTTCAGGTACACTGTAACTTCTATGAGGGCAAGGGTTATTGCTTTGTCTATTGACTGTTATATCTCCAGTCTCCAAAAAAGTACTGAATCTATGTGAGGACCCCACAAAATACTTGGCAAATGAAAAAGAAATTAATTCATCCACACAAACAATTAATTAACATAATTAATATAATATACATATGAGTTGGAACAGAAGCTAAGAGAATGAAGAAGGACTTGCTGACATATTATAAGGAATATCTTAGAGAACTGACCAGAGAGAAGGGGAGATTACTGCTGGGAAAAGAACAAAGTGTGTAAAACCTCCATGGACTAAGATAATGTTTTCTAATTCCAAGAATCCTTATTGGAACTCTATAGATCCCCTGTGTTCTAGGACCAGGATTCTCAATCTCACCTTGTCCCAACAACCTCTTTTTGAAATCTGATGAAGTCTATGAACTTTCCC